GCATGATTTTTAGAAAAAAAAATACATATACCACATATGCATATAAAACATATATATATATATATATATATATATTATATATATGTGTGTATATATATAAACATGTTTATATATGTGTATATATGTATATCATTTCATTATATATGTATGTGTATAATTTTTAAAATTTTATTTTTATTTTGTATTAATTAATATTATTAAATATTAGGGATTGATGATGTGGCAGATGACTAGGATGCCATGTCAGCATTAAATAATATATTTTTTCGTTCAGGATTTTATTTGCCAATTTTTAAAAGTATAGAGTTTTAATTGCCAATTTTTAAAAGTACAATGTTTTTTTGGATAAAAAAAGTATAGGGTTTAAATTGCGACGAGAGAAAAATACAGGATTTTAAATGGAATTATCCCTTAATTATAAGAAAAAAAATCGTTATTATTTTATTGGATTTATGAACTACGACCGTCACAATACCATGTGAATGAGATCTAAGACCTATTTTACATCATTATCATTTTTTTTCCTTTTTTTTTTACAAGAAGAATAAAGGAGTTTGATGTGTCTCCAACATCACATTTTTTTTTTTACTTTTATTGTTATTATTATTTTTTTGACAAAGTACTTTTATTATTATTATTATTATTATTATTATTATTATTATTATTTATAAAAAAGAGGAAGGGCATATCCGGAGGTGGCATGAGATAGTTTCCTCAGATATTTTACAAGCATATTTCAAAACATAAATCCAAATACTAATTGACGAAGCAGAAAAATTCATATAGTGATATTTTTACACGTTAAAAATGATTTTATAAGAAATTGTATTTCGAGCAGGAGAAAAAAGAAAAATATACCGAAGATATTTACAATCACTTCCACAAACCCAAAAGAATCAGTCAAAATATTTTCCTATTTTAAACTATATACAGACAAAGATTGTTTATTTCGGATAAATAAAATACTAATTAATTATCTTTCATTGATATATCTCTCTCGCAAAAGCTAAATAAACATAGAAAATTAATTTCAAACGTTTTAGAATATAAACTTATAAATAATTTACACCCAAAATTAGGCAAGAAGAATTTTGTGGAGTGGATGGATGAACAAATAAAATTATATACTTTTGGTAAATTTGAAAAAAAAAATGGGATGGACCATTATTACATAGTTGCATAATTTTCACTTTAAAAGAGTTAACTTTTTTTAAAATACCATTGATTGATCGGAGTAAATCGGTTAATATTTTAAAAAACATACATTTATATAAAAACGTATCAAAAAATTGTATATTTACGAGAAAGTATCGAAAAATTATGGATTGGTAAAGTAATTTTGATAAATAAAAAATTGAATCACTAGTGTGAAAAAGGAATTTTCCCGATTCTCTAGTGAAAAATCCTAAACGACACAACATGACTCACAAGTAACGCCTGATGATGTCAGCAAGCGGGGAAGATATCACGTAATTTTCTCTCTTAATTTATCACACATTCTGTTCTTATAAAAGTGTTTCCCCAATTCTCCGACTAATTACATTTTTTCGTGTGGAAAGCTTCACGGATTTTTTTTTATAACCGGCAAGATTTAGATTAATCCAGTCAATTGTATGATTTAAATTATATGTTAACTCTCCAAATTTAAATTTCGAATTCGACACGATACATATGATTTGTAACTTATTCACTTGGTTGAACCAACCAAATTTAATTTTTTTTCTCTTTTTGTTTGAGCTTAAATATAGATATACCGAAGGATTTGGTAATTTGTAACCCTTAACGATAATATCATGATTTTTTTAAATTAAGAGTCTGGAATCTTCTTTTTAATTAAACTAGCATATACTAGAATCTTTCATAAAATCTAGAGTAATAACCAGACAAACACCATTGAATCATATATTCTTAATCTAATCTGATATATAAAAAAAAATGTTGGGTTTCTCTTAAAATAAATAAATAAAGTGCTGTATTCCACATAGAAGCTGGTTGCAGCTTTATGTATTGTAATAAATTTCCCGCAATTTCCTCACGTTTAAAATGTGACGTTTTCCTCAAAATATCAACAAGTGCAAATAATGTTGTAATTTCAAGTACATAAAATAGTTTCGCATCATCGCATCGTCATTTCAATCGTTCGATCGTTAGTACATAAAAAAACTTCTGACTAACTAACTTTTTTTTTTTAAATTTCAAAATTCATTCAGAGGAATGGCAATTAATTATTCGATTGAATAGCAGATAAAATTAAATGAGATAAAAAAAATGTTAAATAAATGCATTCGTAGCCTTCAGTAATGTACGACAATCAATGTACAAATTAATGTGTTTCTCGTCTGTTTCCCTTATTAGGTCTCCTTTGCTTTTTTCGGGAATTTTCACGAGCGACACACAGACATATATATTTATGTATGTATATATGTGGTTGACCATGTGATACCATATATATATATGGCTCATTTGGCTAAAGAATCATCGAATCTACAAAAGAACTTATCTACTACATTCTATTATATTTAATATATATATGTATATATATATATATATATTCTGATCTTCCTTTTCAGTATTTCTATGGTATTGTACGAATATTGTAATAAAACATAGTGATAAAAACCATATTCCATTTTAGAGAATATGTACATCCATGACATTCTCATAACTGATGCAGATTACCTTTTTTCACAAAACTCCCAAAATGGACTCTGCCACGTGTCGCGAGCTTGGTAGTAATTACCTTCACCTGGTGACGTCACCATCTAGTGAAATTTCCGCTCCGTTATCAATGAATTTCTCTCGGTATATATAATTTTTCTAAATCTGAAAAAAATAAACCGAATGTAGTACGTATCAATATTGAAATACGTAAATGATAACGTATTAAATATTGTTAAAATGTTAACTTGTAATATAGAAATAGATATAAGTTTTTAAAATCCAAAATTCTGAATCGGTTAAAATCCAAGTTATCTATCCATAGTGAAAAGGATACTTGGTGTTCAACACATGCAAAATCTCCAGAAGCTTGGGAGTGAATTAGATGATTTTTTGTGTACACAATTAATCTAAACAAAAAAAAAATCTAATCTAAAGGAAATTAGAATAATCAATTTCATTGATTTATATATATATATATATATATGTTGTGCTATGATTGGAATGGGCCGGACAGGTGAATTGATGAAATGGGCCTGAACCAAGCTTAGTCAATGCAGTGATTGCATCGACCAATGGGCCGTTACTGCATCTGAAATTGAAATCTTTCGCATCATAATGCAACCATCTTTAAAACAAATAATAAAATTATTTAAAATTGGATATATTTTTAAGCCACATAATATGTGCGTATTACTACCTGGTATACATAAAAATATGCATTTACGTATACAGTAAGGCTCTTCAAGGATTACTAGATTTTATTGATTGTAATGTCTTTGTACCAGGATGGAATCCTAGAAGATGTTAGTCACTGGATAAAAACGAGATGGATAAAATGGAGACAAGTAACGGGGTTCTTTGTGATCGTAAGATTCCTTTATGGTTAAAAGAATTATATCGTGCCGCCATAAGACCCACATCAGCGAAATGTTGAGCGGTGAAAGGACAACATATGTCTAAAATGAGTAGGTCGAGATGAAGATGTTGACATACAAGGATGGATAAAATTAGGAACGATAGAGAAAATAGGTGTAATAGGTATAGAAGAAAAGCTAAGAGAGAAACTTTTAAGATGGTTTGAACATGTACAACGTAGTTTTATTTGGGAACGTGTAATTAGAAATGATTTGGAATTGTTATAAATTCCGAAAGAGCTAACGCAAAATCGAAATGAGTGGAAACGAAAAATTCATGCGGCCGACCCCAAATAAACTTGGGACTAAAACGATGTTGTTGTTATTGTTGTGTAATGCCTTTGTACTCTAGAATAATCCAAACAATATATATATATATATATATACACACGTATATAATCCAACACGATCGAAAATTACAACAAAATATTTCTAAATCTACAAATAATCATATGGAAACCTGAAATACCTCGGATCAAATAAAGTAAATATGAGGAGTTATTGGTAAATATTTCTGTGAGTAGTCGACGTTTGAATCTCGTGTGACCAAGTTGAGGGTTGAAAACAACGTGGGGAAAAAAAAAACAAAAGCCCAAAAACCGTGTCTTTGACTGCCACTGTTGTCTCATCTGTCAGAGTTCAAATATTTAATTATTATTAATTCATATTCCATTCGGGCTTCGCCAGCACGTGTAAATTGTGTTGTCTTCATATTAAATAAGTAATTAATCGTCCACCTTGTCCGAAAGCATCACGCTTTCTCTACATAAATTATATTATAGCTAAAATGTTTATATTCCCTTCCGAACTTAGAGAGCGTCGAGAGGGTTTCTAGGTTTTTTTAATTTATTTATAATAGTTGGTCCAATAAAATTTGAATTTTGGTGGATAAATCGAGTGAGTTAAGTATTTTTTATGTTATAAAAAACAAAACAGTGAAGCCCAAGTCTTTTAGCTTATGAGATCCTTGGCTGACCTTCTTGTGACTCCGACGAGAACTACGGATTTAAACGAGCTTAGTTCGGTCGAACTACGAGGTTGCTAGCAATTACACATTCTTTTTTCTTTCCAACTTTATGTATTTTTCTAATCTAAACTGCATACTTAATTTTGAAGTTTTCATAGACAATCGAAAAAATATATATATCATGTTGGTATGATTAGTTCAATATTTTTTAAAAAATTATCTTTGAGTGATTGGGGATGCAAAAATATATAGATAATGAACGGATCCTGACATCTTCTAGGTAGGAGGAACACGGGGACGAATGGAATGCACCGCATCGACAATCACTCAAGATAACTTAAATGAATTGATATGAACTACTCATACAAATAATATGCATCTATCTTTTCACTTATTTATTTTGAGAGATCTCTAAAATTAAGCATGATCCCTCAGAAATAATCTTAAAATGAATGACGAAAAGTAATTCGGAGAGTGTACGAGTGAAGATGAAATACGCTAAAAGGTCTCGTATTAGTCTGGGAAGACAATTTCAACGTACTTAACATTCACAAAACATTTCACGTTTGTATTGTATTTGGTTAATTTTATTATTATTATTATTATTATTATTATTATTATTATTATTATTATTATTATTATTATTATTATTATTATTATTATCATTATCATCATTTTTCAAACCGATACTCGAATTTGTTAAAATCTTATTTATATCTGAATATTTTTATTGCTCTCACCAGACGTATAGTTTACCTTGCGAATTAAGTAAACAAATTTACAAATTTACAAATAAATATTTCTGACTCATTTGAAAAACAGAAGGGATCAAAATGAATTTATTGATTGTGCTATTTTATATATCTCATATTTTATATATGATTAATTTTTCCAATTTCGTACACAATTTTTGAACTCAATAATATAATCATATATAAAATTGGAATTATGTTATTTGTGTACTGTTATTTGATTATATTATTGAGTTCAAAAGTTGTGTACGAAATTGGAAAAATTAATCACATATAAAATATACTTATGTGTACGAAATTTTTATTTGTGTACTGTTATTTTTATTTTTTCCAAGTTGTGTACGAAATTGGAAAAATTAATCATACATATACTTATGTGTTCTATATATATCCTTAGAAAGATAGTTTTAATATCAATAAATTGATACTAAGAACTTACAATTTTAATAACAATACACAAAGTTATGAATGACACAATATTACCCTATTAAATATATAACTTTCAAATCAAAATTAAAAAAATTAAATCCGAATTCACGTCAAACCGTGTTTAAAAAAAAAACTATTTTCCACTCGAGACCTATGGTTAAATAGAATATAAATTCGCTTGATAGAAAAGATGTACATCACCAGAATAGTGATATTTTAAACTTTGATGTCTCGTCGAATTGAAAGATCGAACTTGAATCATAGAAAACTTAAGTGTTGTTCTTCTTTGTAGAAACTTTTGTTTTTGATTTTGAGTTAAAAATAAAAATAAAACCTCCTATTTATAGGTTTCGAAAATTGTATGAAATGTCCAAAACACACCATAAAGAGTTAGTGAAACAATGGTGATAATAGAGATTTATCACAAAAATATTCAATTGAAAAAAGTGAGTGATCATGGAGTGAGGTAAGATTTGATCACTTAAAATAAAATTTTCTCATATTCTCCATTATTTTTTAACAAAAACCAAATGAACTCAAAATCAACAAACTCGTAACGGATTGAAACGAATCTAAATCATTTTACAGCCGAGTTTATTAAAATGATTATTTTTTTTTTGGATAATCGGGTTTAGTGGGATGAGGTCCAGACTAATCACGGGTACAGAGCCAGCTATTAAAACGATACTTGTTTCTTTCTAACGAACAACCATTAGTGCCAATGCCAAATCATATAGTTGAATATTCAGATGTTTCGTTTTTGAATATTTTTTTCAGACTTCCGTGGTGTTGCGCACGTGTAAATACATTCCAAAATCACATGTTTAGTATTTTTTTATGTTTATATAATTTTGTCTGCTGATTATTCATATTATTTCCAGTCAATATATTAACTAGAATGTTGACGTGAAATATTTAAAAATTGAAGGGAAGAAGACCGAAACTAAATGTCAATAACATGAGAAAACATTATGTTATTGATAAATAAATAATCTGGGTCGAATTTTCGACACATCACTGGCATTACTGTTTGTTCATTTACATACAAAGAAAGCACAACTGAATAATAATAATAATAATGATAATAATAATAATAATAATAATAATAATAATAATAATAATAATTTTCCCACGTTGTATTTGAGAAAAGAAAGAAAAACGAAACTTCAGAGAAGTAGTGGACAAAAGGGAGGAGGAGAATAAAATACAATGAACACCATCTCGAAGTGACGTGACGACATCGTTTTGACATGAAGAACCTTCCATCAAACTTCCCACCCATACCTATATATAAGCACACACACGTATATATATGTACGATCTCACACTCTCCATCTCTGTTCGGAACCAAATCCTAACTGAAAAAGACTCACAATTCTCAAGCTGCTTCACTTTCCTTCCGAAATGTCGGCCTTTGATCTGTTGGACTCCACTGACTCCGACTACTCCATTGGCTCGTCCGACTCCAATCTCGCCGGCGGTGTCACGCCGTCATTCTGTCGGAACTCGAGCTTCAGCAGCGTAATCCTGAACGACAGCTGGAGCGATTTGCCGTTGAGCATCGACGACTCGCAGGACATGGCCATTTACAACACCCTCCGTGACGCCGTCAACTCCGGCTGGACGCCGTCAGATCATCCCCCGGTCGCGGCGGAGGAGGTGGGTGGGGCGAGTGGATCCCACGCGCCGCCGCAGAGGCAGAGGAAGGGTATGCAGTACAGGGGAGTCCGGCGGCGGCCATGGGGGAAGTTCGCCGCGGAGATAAGGGACCCGAAGAAGAACGGCTCGAGGGTTTGGCTGGGAACGTACGAGACGTCGGAGGACGCGGCCCTGGCCTACGATCGAGCGGCCTTCGAGCTCAGGGGCTCCAAGGCTAAGCTCAACTTCCCTCACCTTATTGGCTCCACCCACTACGAGCCGGTTAGGGTTAGGCCTCGCCGCCGCACGCCGGAGATCACGGCGGTTTCAGACGTATTCTCGCCGGAGCATAAGAGGTTACGGAGTGCTGACGATGGATCAGGGTTTGTCGCGAATATGAGTTTTGTGGAAGCCCAATGTGCTACTGCCGTCGATGATCCGACCTTTTCATATTCCAATAAAATTTTCGACTTCTGAAGTCGTATTTTTTTATTCATTTTAATTTTTTTTTGGAGAACAACATAAATCAAATGGTGCTATAACAGTATAACTGTCATATATGATCATTACAGTGAGTGATGCATTAAAAACGTGTGATATTTCTCAAGATTTAAAATACAAATAAATCATATAATTTGCTCTGGTTTTTACTCCTAAACACAATTCTTGCAGAAATTTATTATCCTACACATAGAAAAGTATTGTTTTCAGTAAAAAGAAAAGATTTTCGGTATAATGATTTAATTTTCAAAAAATAATTAAATATGATATATAATAGAAAGCTAAAAACGTGCCCATAATATCGCATGGGCCTAAACTATGGGCCGGCATGTCGATGAAAGGCCCAAATATCGGCAAAAAGCAAAACAATCATCTCGGACAAGGGAGTCGTTAGTTTGGGAACTTCAGCGACAGGTACAGAGCTCTCCCTCCTTCCTGGATCTTCTCGAACTAACTTGTGTCGCGTCGATGTTATGCTAAGTCAACAGGGTTTTGATCCAAAGTTGCATTGGATCACTTTTTATACGTAAAATCCCTTTCTCGACAATGGTACATGAATTGCCCACAAGTTGTTCGTCAAAATTTCCTCTTGAGTGTGAAGTTACAGTGTTTGCTTGAACATTGTTATCTCAGCTTCTTAAACCGTTTTTCTCGCTAATCGTCAAACTTGTCTTTTGGTGGGTAAGTGAGAGCTACCCTGATCATGGACCGGTGGTCGGGCGTCTTGAAGGTTCCATTGGGTCCTAGTACAAGGAATTATTACAGAGTTGCTGCATCTATTTGCATGTCTCCTTCTTCGGGAACCCTGGCTGTCAGTAGTTTTCTCTTTTACCTTTTGCTGTTAATTTTCAGGAAAAAGGGCCTTTATTGCCGATTCTTGCATATTGGCCTTTGAAACTACTTCATTTGATTAGCAGATGCCTTGGGCGAATGCGATATTCTTTCATGGGGACAGAGTTCGAGGGACTGGGAATCGTGTGATTGAGAGAATCTATGACTTGCAGAAAGTAGCTGAGATCATTGTTTCTAAATTTGGTAATTTTGTTAATGCTTGGGTTGTTGAGGCTTCTGTCTTTGCCGGACCTTTTGCTGTCTATAAGGATTTTGTTCCATCTGTCAATCGATGTGGAGAACCGTTATCGTATTCCCCAGCTGGGTTCCCAGCTTCTTCATCAACTGTCTTCCTCTTATCCAACTGCCTTCAGGAGGTATTATTTTCGCTTGCATTCTGGTCTCAGCCCTTTAAAGTTTCCACATTGAAGCCGGAAACTTGATACTGTGTTCTGTTATATTGTGTTCATGTGTGAAGTTTAACGTTGTCTCTCTACCGATTTGCTTCTTCTGATTTCTTCAGCTTATCTTCAAGCTCATGTTCAGTGTTTAACCCATAGGCACATGCCTGTTATATTTTGGCTGAAACCCTTTCTTTTGCTCATAACAACTCGGATGTCTCAGGTGAAAAACATCATTTTTAAGGATGCCAAAGAAGTACCCTCGATTGACCAGCTTGCATCATCAGACTCGCATCTGCCCAAAACGATCTTGATGGGGTTTAGCAAAGGTGGGGTTGTGCTTAACCAGCTTGTAAGTGAACTTGCTTTCTTGGATGCAAATTCTGCAGAAATCTCACCTGCAGTCCAAGAACGACCTCTGGTGAGCAACCGTGAGGGAATACGGATCATTTCACCCTCCATAAAAACCTTCCTCAGCAGCATTTCCAATATCCATTACGTCGATGTGGGATTGAACACATCGGGTGCCTACATAACCGATCACAGTGCCATTCAGAGAATCTCCCAATGCCTTTTACGAGGAGGAGATTCAATCCGTTTTGTCTTCCATGGAACCCCGAGACAGTGGTGTGACGAGAAACGCGGATGGATACGCGAGGAGAAAGACGAGTTGGTCCGTCAGCTCAAATCAGAAGCCGAAAGTTCTGGTGGGAAAATACAGGTCTGTGAAAGGTTTTATTTTGCTGATAGGATTCCTGATTTACAGATGCATTTTGAGATTATTGATGCTATGGATGTCTCTTGAACAATTTCATTGACGTCACTCTAAACAAAGTTATCCATTCTAATATCTGCCGTCAGTTGGATGATAAATGGATGTGGATGTCTGAAAATCAAATTTAGACAAGAAGAAATGGAAAAGCATGAAACTTCTCCCAAAGGGCATACATGGAAATGGCTGTTTTACCTGAGTCTGGTGAATCTTAAATTTAAACGTCATTTTGCTTAAATGATGATATCGAATCCTTAAGGACATTGGAATCTCCCTATTTGGTGGAAGAAAATTCCAACATTACGCTTCATTACTTGTTTTTAAAATAAAAAAAAAAAGATTAAAGGGGTATGGTATGAAATCAAAATCGGATTTTTAAAATATTTTTTATATAATGCCAATTAAACGTTTCTATTTTAAATTGGTAGAAAAATATAAAAAAACAATTATGAATTGAGGCATTATCTAACATACCCTCTTTGTTAAAACTATTCTGCACGTACCCTTCTCCACATATGATCATGTGAACGGTAAAAAACCCTCAAATATTCATTGATTCAAAATAAATACTCATCTTTAAAAAAAAAACTTTGATCTAAATAAACACTCATCTTTAAAAATATATGTGTAAATTTTTTAATTTTTTAAAATATTCATTCAATTTTTTTTAACTCACCAAAAAATTTCAAATAAAGTACAAAAGGTTTATAAAAAAACATATAAATAAAGGGTTAATCCCATAAAAATTCCCAAACTTGATTAACACTGGAAAACTAATTCCCAAACTTGCATTCTCCTATAAAAAATACTCAATTTGAAAAATTTTCCATTAGAAAACCTAAACTTGTAAAAGATTGTCATAATAAAAATTAACTGACATTGAATACAAAAATCGTTAGATGGGACTGACGTGGCAATACACACATTATACCACCTCATATTTTTATTCCACATGAGCAAAATATAAGTTTAATCTGAACCGATTACATTGATGTAAAATCGGACCAGTTTAAATAAAATAAATAAATAAAGTTTTCCTTTTTTTCTTTTTCCGTCGAACCGCTCCATGGTTTCTTTTCTTCGTCGAAACTGTTCCGTGAGGATCTCTCTATTCCAATTCCTCGAAACTCATCCGATTCCTCATTATACTTTTGTGGGTTTCTATTGAACCCTTTTCTGGTGTTTTCGAAACTTAGAATTTTGAAGTTGAATCATGGAGTTTCGGAGGTTCCTAGGGCTTTTGTCTGGTTTTGGTTTGTTGTAGTTTTGAATGGACCCGCTTTAATTGAGGGAAAATGTTTGATATTTTCCTCTAAGAAGAACAAATGGTTGATCTTGGTGACAGTTTCCGAAGTTTCGCACAATGACATTTAGAGGGTTTACAATTCATCATCGATGGAAAGGAAGAGAAAACTATTGGTGAAGCTCTTCGAGCCATTGTTTCTATTGTCGAACTGGTCTCCGGATTCGACGGAGAAGAAACTATTGCATCTGGAGACCTAAAGGAGTTTCTCAATTCAGATCTTGATAAAAATTTTGAATAACTTGAAGCATATTTCGAAGATCGCAAAATCAAAGGAATTCATGAGACTATTACAAACCGTCTTCACATCTTCAAAATCTAATGATGGAAGCTCTGCTTGTTCAATCATGGTGGATTTATTTCAGGGGGAGAAATAATATGGTGAAGCGGAATAATGGGAGAAAGTTTTTTTTTTATTTAATTGAATCGATTTAACCGATCTAAATTAATTTTAAAATTTTTCTGATGATCTGGCATAAAAATATGACATGGCATCATACGTGTACTGCCAAATCAGCTCTATTTAACGCCGTTTGTATTCAACGTTAGTCAATTTTTATTCTGACAGTCTTTTACAAGTTTAGGTATTACAATGGCAAATTTTTCAAGTTGAGTAATTTTTATAAGATTGTGCAAGTTTGGGAATTAGTTTTCTAGTATTAAACAAGTTTGGGAATTTTTATGGGATTAACCCTATAAATAAATATTAAATTTTGTTTAACTACTATTATATTTTTTTATAATTTTATATATATTTTAGCCCAAATTACAAAAATATCCTCTTTTCTTATGGGCTCAAGCCGCCTCTATTGGAATTTTTGTCAGACTTTTTCTCCTATATTTTATTTCTTCATTGGGTAAAGAACTATACTTTTAGGTCTCTGGATTCCAAACTCACTGAAATGAGAGAAGGTTATCTTTTATATTTATATGCTTAAAATCATGCTGTAATTAATAGTATGGTCACGAGATACACGTTTTCAATAAGTATAGTGATACTTTTGTAGTTCAACCGATGAAACGAGACGCAAAATAATTGTATTGTTCCCGATTTGAATCTCAAATTTGAAGAGAGACATTAACCTCAAATTTTCGATCTCTTAGATTCGTTTTGACTTTGGTTTGAAATAACCAATTACCAAAAAAAGTTAATCTTTTTGTTAGGATGGATGGTCATATATATTTTTTCTTAATTAATTTTCCTTGACAATATGGTTTCTCAATCACTATGGATCACTCTCTTTTACCTAAATCTCTCTCCATATATATATATATAGGCCAAATGATCACATCATTTATCCTTATTCCTCTTTATTGATGAACAATGGATAACAAGACACATACAAACAAGAACACATTAGAAAATCAAGAAAGCACGCAAACACATAATTGGAGCGATATTCAAAATCGCAAAACAAATTATAGATGACAACGAGATATTGTTATTTTAAAGGAAAGATGCGAAGGTTTGGACGAGAGTCAAGACCAAGAGAATGACGGCGGCGACAGTGCCGGTTCCGACCCAGAGGTCCGTGAAGTAAACTCGGCGGAGAGTTGCGAAGACGTGGTGGCAGTGGTTGTCGAAGTGCTGGTCCAGAGACTCGGCCACGTCATAGTAATGGGAGCTCACTTCCACCACTCCTATGCAGAGGTTGTTCACCATCTCTGCCACTGTTCCTTGATGCCCAATCCAATTCCTTATTATCCCTGCAAGTATATAAACTCGTATATACGTTCTCTTGGATCGTATTATTAGAGATATAATATACAAAATGTCTCTGATTTTACCAGAATATTTTATAGATATATGCAAATTAGTTTTATAGTCTCCTATAGGGGTGACCAATTCGGGTTTCGGTTCGGTTATATTCGGATTCGGTTATGTTGCTGAGATGGATTCAATTAGGAGACATCATAGAGTGGTGGAACTTTGAATAATGGAGTTAGTTGGAAGCAAATTGGAGCCATACAAATTGAAGGAGACGTGGCTTATTCAATTGACACAATATCAAGCAAACTTCCTCCTATAAATAGCCAACATCTCCATTCGTATAAGCATCACCATAAAAACATTCAGAAGAGAAGAATAAGAAGTGTAGAAGAAGCTTTCTTCTTCTGCAAGAAACCAATTCTTGGGTTCTTTTGAGAGTTTTGGGTTTCTTTCTTGGTATCCAAGAAATTTGTTTCGGTGAGGTTCTTGGATACACTTTGGTTATTTTTTCTTCTGAGTGTTACGAGAGAAAGGGTGTTTCTTTGGGATTTGGGAAGTGAGGTTGAGTGTTTTATTATTCCACATTTGTTCACCGATATAGTGGAATTTGTTTTTCTTCCTCGCCGTGGACGTAGGCATTCTGCCGAACCACGTTAAATCCCGGTGTCTTTTATTTTCTCTCGTTCGATTCTATCGTCTCGCATTTGAGACCCGGTACGCTTCCGCACAACAATTGGTATCAGAGCCGCGGTACCTTTTACCAAGGCACGGGTCGATTTGAAAAAAATAAAAATAAAAAAATTGTGATTTGGAGTTATGGCCCAGGAGACCACCGAAACACCGGCGGTAGTTGCAATTCCACCAGTTGGCTCATCATCGTCGTCGACCGTCCGATCCTCGGCGTCATCGGGAAGGACGGTGGTGACGAATGCGAAGATCGAGGTGGAGAAGTTCAACGGGACCAATAATTTCAGCTTGTGGCAAGGCGAGATGATGGATGCGCTTTATCAGCAAGAGCTTCTCGTTGCTCTTGATTCGCAGAAGCCGACACACCTGGAGGATACCGAGTGGGTATGGATGAACCGCAATGCTTGCGTAGTAATCCGTTCGTGTTTAACAAGGGAGCTAAAACTCCCTTATATGAAGGAGACATCTGCAAGCAAACTTTGGAGAGAGTTGGAGAAGCAGTTCCTGACGAAGAGTTGCCAGAACCGGTTGTACTTGAAGAAGAAGTTGTTCCGCCTGCAGTACCAATCGGGCACTATGATGTACAACCACATATCGGAGTTCAACAAGCTAGTGACGGAGTTGGAAAACCTTGATGAAATGATCAAGGATGAGGATAAGGCTCTTCTCCTCCTGAACTCTCTACCCGAAGAATACGAGAACCTTATCACTATGATACTTCATGGAAAGGAGCAGATCCGTTTCGATGAAGTATGTGCAGCTTTGTACAATCGGGAGATCCGGAAAAAGGATCAGAAGGAAAACAGTTCAACTTCAGCAGGGGAGGCCTATGCTGCTCGAGGTCGTGAACAGACTCATAAGCCTGGAAAGAAAAAGAAGGGTAGATCTCGCTCAAAAGGCAGACTTGCGAAGGATGAATGTGCCTTTTGTCATGAAACTGGGCACTGGAAAAAGGATTGTCCAAAGCTGAAAAAGAAAGAAAATGGGAAGGTCGTTTCAAAGTCGACTTCAGACGCCTTTGTCGCCAAACATGAAGATGACGAGTCAGAGTTCGTATTGATCGGCACATCGTCAAAATCTCACTCTGACGAGTGGATTATGGACTCGGGTTGCACCTACCATATGTGTTTCAACAAGGAATGGTTCTTCAACTTTGAAGAACTAGATGGAGGAGTTGTTTACATGGGCAACAATGACGCTCTACAAGCAACCGGGATAGGTTCAATCCGACTGAGGTGCCATGATGGAACTACAAGGATTCTGTCAGAGGTTCGGTACGTACCAAATTTGAAGAAGAATCTCATCTCATTGGGAACCTTGGAATCTAAAGGTTATACTGTTACTATTCGAGATGGAATTCTTAAAGTTGTTTCTGGC